CCCCAAAACCCCAAAACCCCAAAACCCCAAAACCCCAAAACCCCTTGTCCAGATAAAGAGATTGAGAGTACAGATTATGCAATAATAGTGATTAATACATAAAATATTTGCTTATTGCACTTCTCCTTGTACTTTCTTTTGAAGAAGTAAGTAATAGGTTGTAGTAGAATAGTTCAGACTGTTCATCCTTAATCAATTCATCAGGAATTCTTTTGGGTATCCAAAGCTGCATACCTTTTTGATAGTTTCTTGATCTAATTCTGAGATAATTGTTGATAATGTTCTGACGTGGGATGTTGATCTACCATGAGTCTTGTCTTCATTATTTTGTTCCTCCATCATTCCTTCAATCTCCCTAAGTCCTGTTTGCCTATTAAAAATAATTTTATTTGGTTTGCTTAAAATTTAGTCCTAGAAATAGGCAATAGTTTTTGTCAAAAAATGTACTTTAGCTTCAAGAAATTTAACCTAGATTTGAGTTTGGGAAGATAAATTTAGCTCAGCTGAAGAATAGAAATCCAAGGTAAAATTATAAACTTATTTTATGGGATAGTTCAGATAAAAAGATTCTTAATTACTGGCTTCTTAAGAATTATTGCATTTAATGTAAAATAAATTGGTTATTTCAACTTGAGTTTCCATTTCAGCTGAAAAGGTTATCTTTTCATGATCAATTTAGGTTAAATTTGTTTAAACAAAAGCTAATTTTTAATGGGGAAATATTAGATTTTTAGTTCTAAATCTTATTCAAAACCAAATATTCTTACTTTTTATTACACCCTTCTTTCTTGGATTTTGAATCTTGAGGGTCTAAACGGATAGACTTCTCTTCTTCTTTTTTATCTTCTTCTTCATTGACAAACCTGTTGTAGACTCCATTATCTAACTCTCAGTTGTTATTGAACTCATATTGTCTATCAACATCTCTGACTTTCGCATCTAGTTTGAGCACTTCTCCCTTTCTGAACATTATCTCTCTCACACTATCATGAAGCCCACTTAAATGAGTTTTCGTTGAATTGAAAGGAGCCAAAATCACTGATTTGGTTGTTTGGTTCACCTCCAGAGATTTTCTTGTTGAGTCCAAGTTGTGCTCTGTGAATAGAGTTGACTCATTTTTGGTGTTCCTATTGAGCTTCCTTGTATCATTGTATGTAAATTCTGTTTTAATAATCTCTTTCTCTGTTTCGGTGAAGATATTTAAATCTTCTTTAACATTCTGAAGCCATTCGTGATTGAGAATTTTATCAGTAGTCAACCTCTTATTTGGATCACATTCTAATAGTCCTTTCAACAAACTGATTGCTTCATTTGAAACATCATCTTTGTAAGTAACATCTCCTCGGATGATTAAGTTATGTAGCTCATCCATACTATTTCCTTTAAATGGGACAGTTCCGTAGAGCATTGAAAACAAAACTACTCCTGCGCTCCAAATATCTACTCCATATCCTGAGTAACCTCTATCAAGAAGAATTTCTGGAGCAATATAGGCAGGGGTTCCTCATTGCTCAGTCATTTTCTCTCCAGGTCTTACTAATTTACTGACCCCGAAATCTCCAATTTTAACATTGCCATGATGATCAAGAAGAATATTGTCCAGCTTAATATCTCTATGAACAATATTTTTCTGATGAATACAATACAAAGCCAATATAATTTGTTTAAAGAAGACTTTAGCAAGATCTTCTTTGAGTCTGCGTCTCTTTCTGACATAATTGAGTAGATCTCCTCCTCCGCATAATTCCATTACTAGAAGAATGTACTTCTCTGTTTCAAATGTCTCAAAGAAATGAACAACATTTTGGTGTCTTATTTTCTTGAGGATGTAAACTTCTTGCATCACTTTTCTCTTTGAGTTGTTATCAAGCAGATATTGCTTGTTAATACTCTTGATTGCCACCAAACTTTGAGAAACCTTTTGAACTGCTAAGTTTACTTTTCCAAAGGCTCCCTTTCCAATTCATTTTCCAATACGATAAAATTCTTTAGTAGTTTCTGGAGGCTCGCCTGTCTCTTTAAAGTGATTCCTGATAATCTTGACTACTGAATAGATGTGCCTTGATCTGGGGGAGAGCTCTGACTCTGATACGTTGGATCCAAATACTTCTTGGCCTTCGTTTATACTATCTTGAAGATCATTTATACTATGATCTTTCATTGATCCTTCTTCATAAAAATTCTTCTGGTTTTCTAAGGCTTGATCAAAGACACCATAGAGACCAGCATCATCATATTTTTCTTGAGCGCCTTCAGCACTCTTTTTAACTTCGTTAAAAGAGTTTAGTTCCATTATTTCATAACTTTCATTTCTATTGAAGCTCTCTTTATTTTTATAGAGGTTTGATTGACTGCCTTTTCTGTTGTACTCAAACGAAACTAGACTTTCTGACTTCCGTCCATCAGATTCTTCCTTCTTTGTATCCTCTTTCTTATTCTCGTTATATTGATAAACTATTTGTGGAGAATCCTTTTGAGGAGATTCATCTTGACATTTTGACTTGTTTTTGATATGTTTTTGTACGATAGAGTCTATTATGTTATCTTTCTTCTGGTTATTTTCATATTTCTTCAGATTATTCTGAGCTCTCCTTGAGGCACTACTCTTAGGCTCGCTAGAGAGCACATCAAACTTTATATGATCTCTGTGGGAGGATTTGTCTCCTTTCTCATTGAAGTATTCACTCTTATCTTTACTCCCACTTTTCTTTGATGTTGCTATACTAAATGATGAAATAGGATACCTTTGCTGAAATGAGTATTCAATAATTTCTTATACTTATTCTGTTCAGTAGCGTAGTTTGATTCAATAATTTTATTGTTCTTCTTCTGCTTTGGATCGTCAAAGAACATCTTCTTGTATTCCTGGTACTTAAAAAGGGAGGAATCATCTTCTTTATTTTTAGTGTGATCTGTGTTCCTCTTCTTTGGTTCAACTATTTCAGAGGGGAACTCTTCTATATCCTCTTGAATATGATCTTCATGTGCATAAAAGTAGTTCTCCTTCTTTTTTACATGAGTAGACATTGCGTTTTTAGTATGACCACCAATCTTCCTCTTTTTTGTCTGAGTAGGAGGCCTTCCGGATTCTCCAATTGTTGAAACTTGTTGGTTGTCTAAGGTTGTAATTGGAGAATTCGCAACAGACTTTTTAGCCATTATTTTATACCCCTTGGGCTTTTGGAAAGCATTCTTTTCTGACATGTAGTTACTTTTACTTAAAGGCTTCCTGTCCTTTTTGTAAACTCTCTTTGCTGAAGTTACAGAAGGCTTTGAATTTTGATAAGAATACACAGTAGAATTTTTATTTGTAACAGTTTTTAACAGCTTTTTTGAATTACTATTTGGATGAACGACATGAGAAAACTTCAGAGTGTCAGAGAACATTTTTGAAGATCCTGCATTATTCATATTAGATTTCACTCTCTTGTGCTTGCTCACTCCTTCTTTTGGCAACTTAGAACTTTTTGTTGGCTTTTTGTCATATTTCGCTTTCGGGATTGTCAAATCTTTGCTTATTTTTCCTGATGAAACTATAATTTAGCTAAAAATGCAGAAAATATACTTACTTGAAGATTTTGAAATTTTTGATGTACCTGGCGGATTTATCATGAAGCTTGATCTAGTCCCGCTATTCAATTTGCTTTTAGAACTCTTCATGTTCTTTCCTTGATTAGAAGCTAGTCCAATCTGTCCTTTGATGAGCTTGAAGTTGATAAATGGCTTTGACTTAATAATTTGATCAGACTTAGTCCTTTGATGTGTCGGCTTTTTGCGATTCTTCTTTAAACTGGACAACTGCTGATAGCTTTGGCCTTGCTTAGCATAAGATACACTAGATAGAGAATTCATAGAGGACTTAGGGGTCTCCTTCTTTTTGAGAGTCCCTTTCTCTCCACTGTTGTCTATTGTTAGTATAATGTAAGTAGGCTTTTGTTTTAAAGCATTTGACTTCGTCTTGCTGGAGTATGCTTCAATACTGTGGTGATAATTTGTTACAGAAGCTGCTTTAACATGCCGAGGTTTAGGCTTGGTAGGAATTAGTTCATTAGTTTTATTATTCTTGCCTTCCTCTTTTCTATTTGTAAATATTTGGAGTTCCCTTGCCGGTTACTTTGCTAACAGATTTTGGAACCCGATTAGATACAGTCTTCAGTTCATGAGTGGACCCTGTTGACGATGAAATTACATGAGTATACTGAGGAGATTTTAATGCCACTGAATGGTGATGAGAATGATGAGTCCCTTTCTGACCATACTTTGCCATATATGGGGTGCTTTTAGGATTCTCAATAAGCTTTTTGAATGACATTTCTTTTCGCTTTATTTTTAAATTCAATTGAAATTAATAAAATAGGGGTTTTGGGGTTTTGGGGTTTTGGGGTTTTGGGG